TTTAACGGCCTGGAGTCCCAACCACACATCAAGACATTGTTCAGATCATTTGTTTCAAGACATTTGACATGTTTCCGTCCTGAAATCTCGTGTGGGTTGAACTAATTTTTTTACGCACCTCATCCCAAACCTTCCGTTGCAAATTCCAAAACGTCATTTTAGAGCTGATAACAGAGGCTTGAGCCATTGATATGCAGGCTAACGCAGTTATTAATGCAGTCTAATGCGGTTATTAGAGAGAGAGAGAGATATTAAGTGCGTGTGAATACCTGCGTCTATGCGTCTCTCAGCAGCGTTCAGCAGCAGCGTCTACTAATAGCGAATCTTTAAGTTAAACTCCTTCATGAACCTCGCTACTGAGAAATGTCATGTAGCTTTTCAGCTGCGAAACTATTTTACTGATAAATTCGCGGTGCAGCGCTGACAAGAAGTTTCTGTTCGCGTCTCTGCGTGTCTGCACTGTGTGTGCGTCTGTGAGAGAGACTGGGAGAAAGAAAGCGTGATTTCTGTAGCCTACATAAAAAAGGTGGAAGACATGGAAATAGTTTGTCATTTTTTTACCCTATTGTTTGTTATATTTATTTGCTCAATGTCTTGAGCAATGCGTAAATCCGGCCCTGTTAGACGGCAATCGGAAGTTATTACAAACACTCGATGGTGGTTTAAAGTGAGTTTTGAGTAAAAGCGGAATATAAATCTTATTTATTGTCTTATGTAGCATGATGCTACAGTTTGCATGAATGGTCACATAACACGCGCTTTCGGTCGTGTAACGTTAGTATGAACGGACATCTGCATATGATCGGAACTCCACGCAGCTCCCGCGCTACTCTATACTGGTGGTATTACAGTACCACGAGAACTAAAGAGAGCAGACTGCTCCGTGCGCTTTCGAATCGCTCTCGCGGATGATCGATCTGTGCCGTGCCTCTTCTAGTCGAACACATCAGCTAGTGCTGCAGGCTTATTGGCTCACTGACGCTGATGAGATTAACCCCTTAGGTATCGAAATTTGGTACCGAACGACGAGACGTTTTTCGATACTCGATGGTATCGAGGCAATTCGGTCGGTGCCTAAAAAGTATCGAACTCGATACCCAGCCCTATTGCTAACACACAATTCATGAAACAATTCACCATTTTCTCACAACTATAAACACAATCTCAAAACTACACACAAACTTGTGCAAACTTCAGACTTCTAGCTCAAAATCAAATAGTTTAGTCAAAAACATATGATCTTTAGTCAGACTCAAGCTTAGGCCTCAGATGACACACAAACCTGTCAGATACACACTACTACACTGTCTAGAGAACACTAGTGAGATCAACTCAACACTGTTACTAAAACCTGCTTTTGGGAAACAGGGATCCTTTTGCTATCGATGTCTGTTACAGTATACGACATAAACAGAGGGATGCAGATACAGTACAATTCAGCATTAAACTGTAAGAAAAGTTCACTGTCATTACACGACTGTGAAGAGATCTTACAGTAGATGTGTTACAGTGTTGCCAGATTGGGCGGTTTTGAATTTGATTGTGCGGGTAAAAATTGGCTTGGGCGGGTGGACAAAATTTGGGCTGGTTTGGGGTCAGCTTGTCGGGTTTCAAACATATAAATTGCATAGGCTAGTTGCTTAACAAACAAGCCCAAGTATGCATGTACTGCATCCAGTCAGTCATCACAACGTTACTAAATAAGTTAAAGAGTGGGAGAGTGACTCAAAACGTGAATTATTGTGGAGTGAGATGACACGAAGGCTCTATCACTGCAACTCTGAAATCAGAGCACATTTGAATTAATTAATCAAAACCACACTAAATATCTTGGTTTATACGATCCTGTCTTTTATCTTTTAAATGCTCCAGACTGATAA